CCTGAGTTCAAATCCAACCTCAGACATTTGACACTTACTAGCTGTGTGACCTGGGCAAGTCACTTAACCTCATTGCCTAGCCAAAAAAAAAAAAAAGTACATGCACACATACACATTGATATATAACTATATTAATAATTAAGGCTTTTTTCCCTCTAGCTAGGTTATCTGTGTACTAGAAGATTATTTTCCTTTGCCCTATGGAGTCTCAGGTAGTATTCACATGTAGAATCCCAAATAAAACAAACTACAGGCACTTCTGTAAAATCTTAACTTGAAAAAATGTCTCAAAGGCATCCTTGGGCCAACTGGCTAATATCCTGTAAGTACTCATTGTTTCTTACTTTCACCTCTAAAACCAGCTCAGTCTTAACCTTTCCCTAAATGATAACTTAATAAATATTCATCTGAGCTCAGAGTCCCAGAGCACTTGGCAGCCAAGATAGGATGGCTCCACATCCTGCTTGCTGTTAACCTTGAGGATAAAAGGAAACATTCCAATCTTGTACTTTCACTTCCCTTACCCAATCACTATGCCCACAGACCCCAAAGCAGAGAGGTGGCAAAGAACAAATACCCCCATTTCTCTTAGAAAGGGTGCGTCAATTGACTGCCTCATTCATCTATGACTCCCCAGAGCCAATTTCTTCCCACGGACACCATTCCGCTATGTGTTATCTTTTAAACTCTCTGAGCATGGGGACTGTTCTTTTTATTTGCATCCCCAGTACTTAGCACAGGGCCTGGCATAACTAGTAAACATCTAATGCTTTCTCCATTCATTCAACCACTCTCCAGGAAGGCCTGAAAGGACAGGATCATCTCTAAAAGGTCTTTTCCTAAACCAAAAAGGAAGGCTGGGAAGCCCTCCACAGAGCAGCTGCCACATCTCCCCACTCGGCACAGATTTGAAGGTCTACAATACTCTCCTTCTATCTTTGGTTGGCTGGTAAGGTGAGCATTTAAAATCTCTTTCAGACATGTGAGCCTGGGCTTCTTTTTCCCCCCTCTCCCATGTAAGGTGCCACATAACCACACAATGAAGGTGTGCCACAACATATTGGAGGTGAAATGGGTTCAAGGAATTGATCAATGCTCGCTCCTTTTCATATTTTCCAACTCAGAGTGATCAGTGTCCTCATTCCAAGTGCTGTACTGTTAACTAACTTTGAGTATAAAAGGAAACATGTTGTGGACCTAATTTACACAGCATGGCTATTTTTTGTTTGATTTCTTTTTTAAAGGATATACCTCAAAACCTATAAATCACTCAATGTGGAGCTGCATCGCTTGAGTTCTTGTCCAAATGTTGCAATCTGTTTGACTTTGGGCAAATCACTTAATCTCTCTTGGCCTCAATGTCCTCAAGTGTAAAATGAGGCATCTGGACCAGATAGCTTCTACGATCCCTTCTAACGAATCTGACCTGATGGTCCACTAACAGGAAAACAAAAATGTGCTAACTTCTAAAGTGCGTAACGATTTTTATTATAAAATATATTATCCCACAAGTCATGAGACACCCTCAAAGGACTCTGCCAAGACTTATCTAGGGATGGACCTTGATCCCAAAAGAAACATGCTTGAAACATCATATATAAGAAAAATCAGTCAAGGAAGAACTGATTCTTAAGAGTTCCTTGAAAGGACAGCAAGCCAAAGTTGACCAAAGATAGAAATAGGTAATGTTGGAGGGTCTATAGAAAGATAGGCACAGAAAGGTAATGCACTATTTGTGCAAGTATGAATAAGTCCAACCATTCTGGAAAGCAATTTGCTATTAAGCTTTAAAAAGTGATAAAACTATCCACATCCTTTAAACCCAGAGAGCGCCCTGACAGGCATCTAACCCACAGAAAGACTGATACAAACCAAAATAGTCATAGCACCACTTTCTGAGGTATCAAAAAAAAAAAAAAACTGGAAACAAGAGGTAATCACTGACCGTGAAATGGCTCGATAATTTGGGGTACATTAACGTAACTGAATATTAAGAAATGAAAATGAAGAATTCAGAGAAATATGGAAAGCAAAGCTAGGAAAACAACACGGTTACAACAATGTCTACAGAAAGAACAAAATGTGAATAATGTGTGATTATAATAAGCAATTTGCAAGAAGTCTTTCCAGATGTCTCTCAATACTACGATCTTCTGTTGACTATCTCCACTTTATACTGTACAACTTCTTTGCACATAATTGTTTTCATGCTATCTCCTCCATCAGACTGTGAGCTCCCTGAGCACAGGGCCTGTCTTTTGCCTTTCTCTGTATCTTCAATGCTTGGCACAGGCCTGGAATGCAGTAAGTGCTTAATAAATGTTGACTTACTGACTGCCCAAGCTTGTCCGGCCTACTGGACATTTCAAACTACATGGTCCAAAATCTGTCAATAACCACTTAAGGCCCTATTCCATGCTCATTATCTTTCCTCCCAAATCCACCTTTCTTTGGACCTTCCCTACTTCTCTTAGGACACCATGTTTCCTCCTGTCTCATAAGGTTTGTAACCTCAGTGTCATTCTTATCTCTTTCACCCTGAATAGCCCATCAGTTGCCAAATCTTGCTGCTAGATCTTCTGTATCCATTCCTTTCTCACTGCTCTGAGCCACTACCTTAGCACAAACAATCTCCCTCTCCTGCATGGACTACTGCAGTGGCCTTTTACTAGGTTTCCCTGCCTCAAATCTATTCCCACTCACTGCCAAAGTGATTTTTTTTTCTTAAAGTATAGCTCTAACCAGGTCATTCCCCTTCTCAAACTCCAGGGGCTTCCTATTGGCTCTCAGATAAGAGGGCTTTTAAAGCTCTAACCTGGGCCCCATCTATCTTCCCAGAATAATTATGTATTACTCCTGTTCATGCACTCCAGACAAACTGGCCTCCTCTTTGAGGACTATACAAATGCTAGCTAGCATAACACTTAGCACCCCGCCAGTGCTTAGTTAAGGCTTGAGAACTGACTGATGACAGCAGGGACTGCTTTATTTTTTGACTTTGCATCCCCTAGCACATAACAGTCTCCTAAAAAATCCTTACTGAATGAGCGAATCAAATAGTCGGGTATACGTTAAAGATTTAAGCCAAAATTATTTAATGTATTCTATATTATCACTTCTGAGAGAAGCCCCAAGATGAAAAATCTCTCAAGGAGAAAATACATAACATTTTAAATGACTATAATTAATCATCAAGTATTTATTAAATATGAAGAGTTTACTCTGCCACAGGCACTATACTAAGCAGTAGAGATACAAAAATAGACAAAAACAAAAACAAGCCCTGAACTCTAGAAGTTTACATACTAATGAGAAAAACAACATGTAAATAAATTTTGTTGTCCAGTCGTTTCAGTGATGTCCAACTATTCACAACCCCATTTGGGGTTTCCTTGGCAAAGACACTAGAGTGGTTTGTCATTTCCTTCTCCAACTCGTTTTATAGAAAAGGAAACTGAGGCAAACAGGGTTAAGTGACTTGCCCAGGGTCACAAAACCAACAATTGTCCAAGGCTGTATTTGAACTCAAGAAGATGTATCTCTTGACTCCAAGCCCAGCATTCTATCCACTGCACCACGTAGCTCCCCACTAGGTGCCCATAAAACAGATGCAGAGTAGAAGGAAGGTAATCTTAGAGGGGAAGGCTAAGTAACTAGGGAGACCTGCAAGGCCTCCCGCAGCACTTGAGCTGAATCTTTGAAAGAAATCAGGGGAATATATACCTATTTGTGTCTAACGGCCCCAGTTGGGGATGGGGGAGGGGTGTGTGTGAAATGATACTGATGACACTTTTACTATATATTTTAAAGTAACAGCAAGTTGTGCATAACAGATTTGCAGTTTCATGTGTAGTCATCTCTTTAACTGTTAAGTGAATGCTTGTTTTAGTCAATAAATTAAAAATAAAATAATATTAAAAAAAAGAATCTTGAAATATGAAAGGGTGGAGGCAAGGAAGGAGAGTGTTCTAGGCCTGGAGGACGGCGATACAAAGGCACAGAGATGAGATGAAACCAGAAACAGAAACTGGTTAGAAAGATGGATGTTTTCCATCACTCTGCAAAAACTGTTTTTAAAACATGCCACGTTTAATTTGAGGAATTTCATAAAGAGAAATGCTACCAGGGCTCTGAAGGAGAGGTGGAGGGGTGGAGATTGTGATCAAGTAGCCTATCATTCAGTACAAGAAATAAAACTTTTCTCCTCCCCCATGATGGGTTTCTCTTCCCTTTTCAAAATTTCACAATCTATTACAAATCTAGGCTCAAAGGTATGTGTGTATATAATGTAAATATGTACATACATATACATACACATTCGCAAATGTGCATATATATATGTATGTACAGTCATTCCATAGTGAATTAAGAGACTGTCAGAGAATATTCTCAATACACAAGGTTCAAAAACAATACTTAAATTGCTAGTAAAAGAATTCAATTGCCAAAATTTAAAATTCAATGTGAGCAAGCTAAGACGAAGAAAACTAATTCTGTGTAAAATATATACTTGCATGTCAAAGACCAATCTCTCAAGAGTTTCCCCTATGTATTTAGCAAACAAAATTCTAATTCCAAATTTTTGTATAAGTCATCTACCTTCATAAAAAAAGATACTTATATAACAACAGTAGGAAAGTTATAAAGACTGAAAATATAAGACAAAATACTTAGTACATTTTCAAAGGAAAGAACAGAGGGAAGAAGAAAATCCCTATGCCCATGGAAAGGTGTCCCTCAGTCCATTTTTATGTTACTCAGACAACCTGATTTTGACTGCTCACTTTTCTTTATGATTCTGACTCAACGTGACAAAATTCCATGTGGCTAACCCTAGAGCAAGAGAAAGTAACCTATGACACTGGTGCAAATGAGTAACTCTGAAGCAACTGGTGGTGGTAATTACTCCTCACCAAAAAGACTGGTAACAGCTGTCCTAAGACAATGTTTTTATTTTCTATTCCCAAACAATCACTGCAAAGTGACAGATGCCTCCTCACCATTTTCTGGCTTCTGCAGAGTCTCTTGCAGTGTCTGTAGGGTCTCTTCTCTATGGACACTTCTCTTTTTTTCATCTTTTTCTTTGGATGTGAGCCAGCGATTTCTCATAGAAGATTTCTCTTCACCTACCATCATGTTGGGTAACTAAAATGGAAATGACAAGGAAGAGGTTAATCTGACATTTGGATAGACCAGATGTTTGGCTGAAATGTTCCTATGCATGTTCATTTCCATTTACACATAATACTCTTACTTTTTATCAACTACCATTTTATTGAGCACCTTTATTTGATTCAACATTGCCCCACCAAGAACTCATGGAGCTAGTTGGGAAGACAAGGCATCAAATATATGAAGACCTAAATGGTAAAAGAGTTAAACAATAAAGTATAAAACAAGATAGCAAAATTATATGGAACCAGTAGATGTTGGAGGATCAGCAAAACAAAAACCAAGCATGCTAATATTCCATCTGTTGGTAGATCTAGTTGTAAACTGGTCAAACAATTCTGAAAAACAATTTGCTACAAGTGACTGAATGGGTCCATAACCTCTGGCCCAGAGATCCATCACTGCCAGGCACATATGCCAAAACAAATCAAAGACAAAAAAGTTCCATATACGCTAAAATGTTCCTAGCAAAACTTTTGATGATAGCAATGAAACAGAAACAAAGCAGGTGCCTATCATTTAGAGAATATTTAAATAAATTGTGACACGTGAATATATAGAACATTATTTTGCCACAAGGAAACAATATGAAGAAGTCAAAGAAACAGGGCAAAATTTAAAACAGATTTATGTGCAATGAAGCAGAACTAGGAAGATAACATACACAATAACCACAGCTTAAATGAAAAAGAAGAAAATAAACAAGCTTGGCCCCTCCAAAGGAGAAAACACACCTTTCTCCCTTTATTACAAGGCTGGAAAAGTAGGGGCTTGAAGTATTAGTCTGGCTGACCTGTTTTCTTCTTTATCTTTCTAAAGGAAACAGTTACTGGATAAGGGAAGAGGAGGAATAAGACACAGAAATAAAGGAATTGACATCAATTTTTAAAAAATCTAAGTCATTAGAGAAATGACAAGACAAACAGATGATGAATAGTTACCAATGAGCAATACAGACAATTGTTACGTTTCAAGAACAAAGGAAAATCCCGGAGATACAAAGATTTCATGATAAAGATCCTGAGTTTGGCTTTGGACAGTGACAGGATTTTGTTTGAGAAGACATGAAGGCATGGCACTGACAACAATGGCAAGAGCAGACAGAGGGTGGAAACGCACAAGGCCTAAAAGGGGAACCATGAATGGTCATTCTGGCGAAAGCTGAAGATTCATAGGGAAGCAGACTGAGAAGCTTGGAAAGTTAGGTTGGAGTAGCTAGCATTCACACAGTGTTTTAAGGTTTGCAAAACATTTTATAAATATTATCTCATTAGATCTGAACCCTGGAAGGTAGGTGCTATTATTATCAACACCATTTTACAGATAAGGAAACTGAGGCAAACAGAAGTTAAGTGACTCGCCCTGAGGGACACAGCTAATAAGAGTCTGGGGTTTTCCTGACTCCAAGTTAAATGCACTGTAGCTGTCATAACAAATTCCAAGAAGGCTCAACGAGCAGCAAGTGCCCATGTTCTTTTCCCCAATATGATGGTGTACTTAACTTTTAAATCAAGTCAATTTTCAGACCTGTAAGAGAAGACTTAAGATTTTACCTACAAGCTTCCCCGACTCCCTTTACCCTAATTACTGACCCTGTCAGACAGTAAGGCACACTAAGACAGCAGTGGTAAAGAACCAGCCTCAGGAAAAACGGAGTTCAAGTCTGGCACTGCCACATCCTGGCAGTCCAACCCCACACAAGTCACATAACTTCTCAGTGCCCCAGGGCCCTTACACTGTGAATCATTTCCAAATAGAATTACCTGGATTACGAGATGTTTCAACTGCACAGAGGGAGAATGTCAGCTAGTTACACTTTAGCAGTTCTTTAGTACCAAAATCCAGCAACAATTTCCCCTTTAACTCTTCTTATTTAAGGGAAGACATTTCTCCTTTCAAGCCCCCCTAAATCCACTACCAAAAATGACTGGGGAGAATGGGGGTGCAATACTGGGAACGGGAAGTCTCCCCCTGCTGCTGGTTTCAGGTTCCTACTTAATTTACTAATTCACTGCTTATGATCTCATTTTTTCCTGATCTTTATTCCCTAACTTACCCCATTTTCCTTCTTGGGTTTGCTCTCCTAACCCCAACTGTCTGATCCTCAATTCAGAATGCTCTCCTTTCTCTCTTTATTCTCTGGGTCTAGGAGTTCCTGGTTTCTGTAAAGACTTAGCTCACCACCATCTGTACCTCCCCACCTTTCAACTAGAAGTGCCTTCCCCTCTAAGGTTAAACTGGATCTGATTTTGTCTAATTAGTAGAGCACCCAACAAGACAGCTCACCTCATGTGACTACCAGCTACCATATTATTCCCTCTCTCAAAGTACCACACAGAGGGATTTACTGTTCTGCTCTTGCTTTAACTCCTAGGAGATGAAAGTTGGTAAAACTGTACAGGAGAAAGGCAGTACAGTAGGAAGCTGGCCTCCAAGTCAGAACACCTGGGTTCAATTCCTGCTTCTGATACAGGGTCTGTGTGACCCTGGGCAAGTCACTTCTCAATGCCCCAAGCAATACAAAGAAGCCTAAGAACAGCTCACCTATTCTTTAAAAAAAGTAAAAACAAAAACCTTCACTTGACCCATTATCTCCCCTAGAGCTATCCCTCTTTCCCATGAAAAGTATCTACACTGGCTGTGGCTGCTTCCCCTGTTGATGGCAGAAATCAGATCAGAAAAAGCTGAGAGATGAATAGTAAGTGAGAAACTGCTCTAAAGTCACAAATAATTTCCTAACTACACAAATTCCACGGTTTTTGCTCAGTCTTGACCTCCCCGGAGCATTTGACATTAATCTGGTTCTCCTGCCTGTCTAACCTCTCCTTCTTGGTGTCATCTGCTAAAACAGCATCCATATGTGTGTTTCTATTCCAGGGCTCTGTCCTAAACCATCTTCTTATCTATGTATTCTGTGACTTCATTCCTTCTCAAGGGCTTAACTATCACTTCTCTCCCTAGTTCCAGTCCCACATCTCTACTTGGACATCCATAAGCATCTCAAACTCACTGTGTTCTCCAACCCAATGCTCTAAACTTCCCTATTTTTGTCAAGTGAACCAGCATCTTTCCAGTCACCCTGGGTCTTACATCTCTTCTTCACCCGACATCTCAACACAGCTCCTAAGCTGATAGCCCTTCCTCCATCCCAAGAAAGTTCTGGGGTTCTTTGTCTTGGTAAAAATCCAAGTTTCTCTGGCATTTAAAACCCTTTAACCATCTAGCTCCAGCCTATCTTTCCAGGCTTGGACCACATCAAGGTTTGCCCAAGTACTAATAAGAATCTTTTCCTGATTTCCTCAGAGGTTAGAGCCTACCACAAAAAAACACACACACACACACACACACACCCCCATATAACTTTATATTCACTTGGCATAGGTTTTGTTTACTTATCTATACAAATGTAATTTCCTTGAAGAATAAGCCTGGAAAGGTATAGAATAATGCCTTCCACATCCTCTACAGATGAACCTACCTGCTGTTCACTATACAGGACATTATCTCTCCCAATTTCATACCTTTGTACAGACCGTCAACATCATCTCCCATGCCTGGAATGCTCTCCCCTCACCTTACTTCTTGAAATCCCTAGCTCCCATGTCAAGGTTTGCTCAAGTACCATAAGAATATTTTCCTGATTCTCCCAGGCTAGTGTCCACACTGACTCTCCCTCTTACTCCCACCAAAAACAAACAAAAAACATAACTTCATACTCATTTGACATGTATTTTTGCACACTTATCTATATGAATAAGCAAACTTCTTGAAGTTATTAGGGCTGTTTCATTTTTGTCTTTGTAACCAATACTTAGCACAGACTAGGTACTTACTAAATGCTTGCTAAATTAAAATTACCTACTATTTAAATGCTTGACTACATATAGTAAAATATTAAATGAAAATCATATGATCCTTAACAGACACTGATATTTGTTTTCAAAATGTTATAGGAAGTATTTTCATCATATGACTTTTCCCATACAACCTTCAAATATGTGGCTCCCAAGAAAATACTGGGAAAAAAAAGAAAGAAAATATTGAACAGGGCCGGAGACAAGATGGCGGAGTGAAAGCAGCAACTTGCTTGAGCTCTCCCCCAAACCCCTCCAAATACCTATAAACATGGCTCTAAACAAATTCTAAGGCAGCATAACCCACAAAAAGACAGAGTGAAACAAATTTCCAGCCCAAGACAACCTGGATGATTGATCAGAAAGGTATATCTCACCAGGCTGGGAGCGAAGCACAGCGTGGGGTGGGCGCACACACCACAGCAAACCTGGAGCAGGCCTCAGAGGACTGAATTGCGGGCAGCTGTAGCAGTTTCCAGACTTCTCAACCCAGGAATGCCAAAGACAACTTAGAAGGTCAGTGGGGAAAAGTCTGTTTCTGCAGTGCTGAGAGAGGAAGATGGGGTCTCAGCTCCATTCCCCAAGAGTGGCCCTGGGGTGGGCAGCTGCTTCCTGAGCTTCCAGCCCACAGACTGAGGGGGAATCGAGTGGCTGATCAGAGGGGGATTGCAGGGATCTCTCTGCTGGTGCTGAGGCAGGAATCTCTTGCTTTGCCCATGCTTGGATCTGGGTCACAGTTCTGGACGGGGTCCTGGGGTGAGGAGGAGCTGGCACGGTGGAGCTTGTAGTGGCTGTGGACAGGAAACCTTCCTCACAGTTCCAGGACAGAAAGGAGTGCTTGTGGTCACTAATAGACCACAGCACAGGCCAGGAAAGGAGTAAACACCTCACCCCTTATCATACCACCTTGCAAGAACTGAAAATTTACAGGTCCCTACAAGTATCTCTGAAAACAGCTATATAAACCCCCAAAGCTTGGGACAGTACATTCTCCACATTGGAAGCAGACTCTTACCTTAACAAAGAGTTTAAAACTCAAGTAATTGGCTGGGATCATGAGCAAGCAGCAAAAAGAGTCAGACTATATTATCTTACTTTGGTGACAAAGAAGATCAAAAT